TATATTGATTATACCTATCCAATCCTTTTGGAACTTAATGAGGTGCCGTAGACAGGTCATGTTATGCCTTTGAACAGAGAATTAGACCGGTCTTGTTACAGTTTTTCCCCCACTGCTTACACACGTTTTCAAAACTGTGTCTCCTTTTTTTCAAAACTCTACACACAATTCCCAAAACTGCACACACAAAATGCAAAATGCCTCACTTCAAAATGCCATAAACACATGTCAGAATGAAGCATTTGCATCAAATGGCAAACACTTCTTTCATAATAGTACATGTTTGGATATACCATGTAAACACTGTTGTTCTAAATCTAAAGCTCTTTGGTCTTTCATAGGCTTATATCTACAATGTTCTACAGCGAAAGTAATCTGCTGAGAGGGGTAACAAGTACACTGTAAACACCAATGCAATGTAGAAACAGAAAATATTTATTAGGCCAAACATTACTATTGTATACAGTAGCATACAACAAAACCATAAACATATGTAAACCAAAAGTATATTCTTTAGAATACAGTAAAGATCACAATTGTGTGTGTGGGGTCCCGGGGGGGCAGTCCAGGAATTGGTAGGTGGGGGGCAGTCACCAGTGCTAAGCTACGCTTCATCTCTTCTCCGGGCTGGGTCTGGCCACAATACTTCGTCCACATCACAAGATACGTTTTCTCTTGCCAAACATTGAGGGAAGTATCTCCTAGCATGGCGTATCCAACCTTGGACAGAGGCAACCTCTATGTCCCCACATGCGTCCTCCATTGCCATTCACCTTTTTGGGATTTAGAAAAGGTGAATATGGGGGTAGGTACAAAACTACAAATTGTGGATGGGTGGCAAACCAGTTTTGGCCCAGAACAGCCCGGTGAAAAGTAACGTTGTCCCATATAACCACAAATCTAGCAGGCTCCTGATCTGGATCAGGGACAAGCATTGTGTAAATTGCATCCAGAAAAGTGAGCATATGGCCGGTGTTGTACGGACCCAGTGTGGCATTGTGATGGAGGACCCCGTTTTGAGTGATGGCAGCACACGTAGTTAGTTATATTACCCCCACGCTGTCCAGGGACATCGGTAATTGCCCTCTGTCCTATTACATTTATTCCGCGGCGCCTGGTTTTGGTGAGGTTGAAGCCAACCTCATCCACATAAATAAATTAATGGCGAATTACATGGGCATCCATCTCCGATACTCTCTGTAACAGACAGAAGGATATACAGATGAGTAAATATGGTATGTCTGAAGTACTGAAAGTAGTGTTGCATACATACCTCTACAAAGTCATGTCGCAGATTCTTGACTCTGTCAGAGTTTCTCTCAAATGGCACCTTGTAAAGTTGTTTCATCGTCACTTGGTGCCATTGGAGGATGCGTTGTATGGTCGACAGGCTTACAGCATTGATGTTGTTAAATATGGTGTCATTGTTCAAGATATGCTCTCTTATCTCTCGAATTCCTAATTGCATTGTTGGCCAAAACCATATTTATAATTGCAGTCTCTTGTACATCTGTAAACAAGCGTCCTCGTCCTCCATGATGTCTTTGCCTTTCCACTCTGTACAGAATTCAAACACAGTATGTGTTCAGCATAGGAACTGTAAACAATGTACACAAAAATGTAGTACAGCATGATAACCAACCTCATTCATTCAATGCAGTGCAGTAAATGGATGGCTTAGAGTTACAAATGGTTATGCAATACTATGCAGTCATACGTATTTTACAGTACATTACTGTAATGCTAAAATAGTCATTGGATAGTTGCATACCTGTTCTCATTTCTGAAGGTTCGAATTAATTGACAACTGAGTCAAAGGCTGAGAAATAGCTTATGGTTTTGGAGATTTGGTGTGTAGTTTTGCACTTGGAGTGAGAGGTTTCAAAAATCGTGTGACATGAAAAGATTTTGTGTGTAAGCAGTTGGAAAAAACTGTAACCCCTTGAACAGAGAATTAGACAGGTCTTGTTAACCCCTTGAACAGAGAATTAGACAGGTCTTGTTAACCCCTTGAACAGAGAATTAGACAGGTCTTGTTAACCCCTTGAACAGAGAATTAGACAGGTCTTGTTAACCCCTTGAACAGAGAATTAGACAGGTCTTGTTAACCCCTTGAACAGAGAATTAGACAGGTCTTGTTAAACCCTTGAACAGAGAATTAGACAGGTCTTGTTAACCCCTTGAACAGAGAATTAGACAGGTCTTGTTAACCCCTTGAACAGAGAATTAGACAGGTCTTGTTAACCCCTTGAACAGAGAATTAGACAGGTCTTGTTAACCCCTTGAACAGAGAATTAGACAGGTCTTGTTAACCCCTTGAACGGATAATTAGACAGGTGTTGATGACTTGGCCACAGGTGTGTGAATGATTGACAGACATACCTGGCACCAGCATGGTGGTCATGATTTTGTGTGTGTGTGTGTGTGTGTGTGTGTGTGTGTGTGTGTGTGTGTGTGTGTGTGTGTGTGTGTGTGTGTGTACAGTGGCTTGCGAATGTATTCGCCCCCCCCCCCCCCCCCTTTGGCATTTTTCCTATTTTGTTGCCTTACAACCTGGAATTAAAATGGATTTGTATAATTTGATTTACACAACATGCCTACCACTTTGAAGATGCAAAATATTTGTTATTGTGAAACAAACAAGAAATAAGACAAAAAAACAGAAAACTTGAGCGTGCATAACTATTCACCCCCCCCCCCCCCCCCAAAGTCAATACTTTGTAGAGCCACATTTTGCAGCAATTACAGCTGCAAGTCTCTTGGGGTATGTCTCTGTAAGTAGTGGGTTCGATCCCCGGGACCACCCATACGTAAAAATGTATGCACACATGACTGTAAATCGCTTTGGATAAAAGCGTCTGCTAAATGGCATATTATATTTTATAAGCTTGGCACATCTAGCCACTGGGACTTTTGCCCATTCTTCAAGGCAAAACTGCTCCAGCTCCTTCAAGTTGGATGGGTTCCGCTGGTATACAGCAATCATTAAGTCATACCACAGATTCTCAGATGGATTAAGGTCTGGGCTTTGACTAGGCCATTCCTAGATATTTAAATGTTTCCCCTTAAACCACTCGAGTGTTGCTTTAGCAGTATGCTTAGGGTCATTGTCCTGCTGGAAGGTGAACCTCCGTCCCAGTCTCAAATCTCTGGAAGACTGAAACAGGTTTCCCTGAAGAATTTCCCTGTATTTAGCGTCATCCATCATTCCTTCAATTCTGACCAGTTTCCCAGTTCCTGCCGATTAAAAACATCCCCACAGCATGATGCTGCCACCACCATGCTTCACTGTGGGGATGGTGTTCTCGGGGTGGTGAGAGGTGTTGGGTTTGCGCCAGACATAGCGTTTTCCTTGATGGCCAAAAAGCTGACCAGAGTACCTTCTTCCATATGTTTGGGGAGTCTCCCACATGCCTTTTGGTGAACACCAAACATGCTTGCAAATTTTTTTCTTTAAGCAATGGCTTTTTTATTCTGGCCACTCTTCCCGTAAAGCCCAGCTCTGTGGAGTGTACAATTTAAAGTGGTCCTATGGACAGATACTCCAATCTCCGCTGTGGAGCTTTGCAGCTCCTTCAGGGTTATCTTTGGTCTCTTTGTTGCCTCTGATGAATGCCCTCCTTGCCTGGTCCGTGAGTTTTGGTAGGCGGCCCTCTCTTGGCAGGTTTGCTGTGGTGCCATATTCTTTCCATTTCTTAATAATGGATTTAATGGTGCTCCGTGGGATGTTCAAAGTTTCTGATATTTTGTTATAACCCAACCCTGATCTGTACTTCTCCACTTTCTCCCTGACCGGTTTGGAGAGCTCCTTGGTCTTCATGGTGCCGCTTGCTTGGTGGTGCCCCTTGCTTAGTGGTGTTGCAGACTCTGGCGCCTTTCAGAACAGGTGTATATATACTGAGATCATGTGACAGATCATGTGACACACAGGTGGACTTTATTTAACTAATTATGTGACTTCTGAAGGTAATTGGTTGCAACATAACTTATTTAGGGGGTTCATAGCAGATGCACGCACCACTTTTTTGTTATTGATTTTTTGATTTTTTTGAAACAAGTAATTTTTTTTTATTTCACTTCACCAATTTTGACTATTTTGTGTATGTCCATTACATGAAATCCAAATAAAAATCAATTTAAATTACAGGTTGTAATGCAACAAAAATAGGAAAAAAGCCAAGGGGGATGAATACTTCTGCAAGGCACTGTATGTGTGTATCAAACCCGACACCAGCATGGTGTCTCCAGGAAGTCCTCGCATACCCGACACCAGCATGGTGTCTCCAGGAAGTCCTCGCCTACCCGACACCAGCATGGTGTCTCCAGGAAGTCCTCGCAAACCCGACACCAGCATGGTGTCTCCTGGAAGTCCTCGCCTATCCCGACACCAGCATGGTGTCTCTGGAAGTCCTCGCATACCCGACACCAGCATGGTGTCTCCTGGAAGTCCTTGCCTACCCGACACCAGCATGGTGTCTCCTGGAAGTCCTCGCCTACCCGACACCAGCATGGTGTCTCCTGGAAGTCCTCGCCTACCCGACACCAGCATGGGTGTCTCATGGAAGTCCTCGCCTACCCGACACCAGCATGGTGTCTCCTGGAAGTCCTCGCCTACCCGACACCAGCATGGTGTCTCCTGGAAGTCCTCGCCTACCCGACACCAGCATGGTGTCTCCAGGAAGTCCTCGCCTACCCTACACCAGCATGGTGTCTCCAGGAAGTCCTCGCCTACCGGACACCAGCATGGTGTCTCCAGGAAGTCCTCGCTACCCGACACCAGCATGGTGTCTCCTGGAAGTCCTTGCCTACCCGACACCAGCATGGTGTCTCCTGGAAGTCCTCGCCTACCCGACACCAGCATGGTGTCTCCTGGAATTCCTCGCCTACCCGACACCAGCATGGTGTCTCCAGGAAGTCCTCGCCTACCCGACACCAGCATGGTGTCTCCAGGAAGTCCTCGCCTACCCGACACCAGCATGGTGTCTCCAGGAAGTCCTCGCCTACCCGACACCAGCATGGTGTCTCCAGGAAGTCCTCGCTACCCGACACCAGCATGGTGTCTCCAGGAAGTCCTCGCCTACCCGACACCAGCATGGTGTCTCCTGGAAGTCCTCGCCAACCCGACACCAGCATGGTGTCTCCTGGAAGTCCTCGCCAACCCGACACCAGCATGGTGTCTCCAGGAAGTCCTCGTATACCCGACACCAGCATGGTGTCTCCAGGAAGTCCTCGTATACCCGACAACAGCATGGTGTCTCCTGGAAGTCCTCGCCTACCCGACACCAGCATGGTGTCTCCAGGAAGTCCTCGCCTACCCGACACCAGCATGGTGTCTCCAGGAAGTCCTCGCCTACCCGACACCAGCATGGTGTCTCCTGGAAGTCCTCGCCTACCGGACACCAGCATGGTGTCTCCAGGAAGTCCTCGCCTACCCGACACCAGCATGGTGTCTCCAGGAAGTCCTCGTTGCCTCTCTGGAACATCTGGAGGTGGCTGCACACACATAAAGACTTATAAAGGCTTCATAGAGAATTCATAGAAGCTTCACAAGTCATTCATAAGCAAGGTCATACTACATTAAGGCTGATATTTGTGATTTGTGAGACTGCTTAATGCTGCTTAACTGTAATTTACTATATTAAATACCAATTACTTCCATTTTTTGTTTAATTTAGTTTATTTACTTAAGGAGGCCTGTGTACAATTAAAAATAAACCTAAAATATATATATATACAGTGGGGGAAAAAAGTATTTAGTCAGCCACCAATTGTGCAAGTTCTCCCACTTAAAAAGATGAGAGAGGCCTGTAATTTTCATCATAGGTACACGTCAACTATGACAGACAAATTGAGAAAAAAAAATACAGAAAATCACATTGTAGGAGTTTTAATGAATTTATTTGCAAATTATGGTGGAAAATAAGTATTTGGTCACCTACAAACAAGCAAGATTTCTGGCTCTCACAGACCTGTAACTTCTTCTTTAAGAGGCTCCTCTGTCCTCGACTCGTTACCTGTATTAATGGCACCTGTTTGAACTTGTTATCAGTATAAAAGACACCTGTCCACAACCTCAAACAGTCACACTCCAAACTCCACTATGGCCAAGACCAAAGAGCTGTCAAAGGACACCAGAAACAAAATTGTAGACCTGCACCAGGCTGGGAAGACTGAATCTGCAATAGGTAAGCAGCTTGGTTTGAAGAAATCAACTGTGGGAGCAATTATTAGGAAATGGAAGACATACAAGACCACTGATAATCTCCCTCGATCTGCGGCTCCACGCAAGATCTCACCCCGTGGGGTCAAAATGATCACAAGAACGGTGAACAAAAATCCCAGAACCACACGGGGGGGCCTAGTGAATGACCTGCAGAGAGCTGGGACCAAAGTAACAAAGCCTACCATCAGTAACACACTACGCCGCCAGGGACTCAAATCCTGCAGTGCCAGACGTGTCCCCCTGCTTAAGCCAGTACATGTCCAGGCCCGTCTGAAGTTTGCTAGAGTGCATTTGGATGATCCAGAAGAGGATTGGGAGAATGTCATATGGTCAGATGAAACCAAAATAGAACTTTTTGGTAAAAACTCAACTCGTCGTGTTTGGAGGACAAAGAATGCTGAGTTGCATCCAAAGAACACCATACCTACTGTGAAGCATGGGAGTGGAAACATCATGCTTTGGGGCTGTTTTTCTGCAAAGGGACCAGGACGACTGATCCGTGTAAAGGAAAGAATGAATGGGGCCATGTATCGTGAGATTTTGAGTGAAAACCTCCTTCCATCAGCAAGGGCATTGAAGATGAAACGTGGCTGGGTCTTTCAGCATGACAATGATCCCAAACACACTGCCCGGGCAACGAAGGAGTGGCTTCGTAAGAAGCATTTCAAGGTCCTTGAGTGGCCTAGCCAGTCTCCAGATCTCAACCCCATAGAAAATCTTTGGAGGGAGTTGAAAGTCCGTGTTGCCCAGCGACAGCCCCAAAACATCACTGCTCTAGAGGAGATCTGCATGGAGGAATGGGCCAAAATACCAGCAACAGTGTGTGAAAACCTTGTGAAGACTTACAGAAAACGTTTGACCTGTGTCATTGCCAACAAAGGGTATATAGCAAAGTATTGAGAAACTTTTGTTATTGACCAAATACTTATTTTCCACCATAATTTGCAAATAAATTCATTAAAAATCCTACAATGTGATTTTCTGGATTTTTTTTTCTCATTTTGTCTGTCATAGTTGACGTGTACCTATGATGAAAATTACAGGCCTCTCTCATCTTTTTAAGTGGGAGAACTTGCACAATTGGTGGCTGACTAAATACTTTTTTTCCCCACTGTACAAGGCCCTTATCTGGTGCTTTGGCAAATGATATATAATCTGTTCACATCTCCTCACTCTCTCTCTGGAGACAAACATCATTACTATGCAAACAGACCAAAGACTTTGTGCAGCGGGAAGAAAACTAGCCTAGTCACAAGTCTGTTTTTGATGTCTTGCCAACTCCATTGCTGTCATTGTCAAGGCAAACAGGGAAGACAGCACAAACAGATCTTGGGCCAGGCTAGGAGGAAACTGGAGATGTCAAAACATGTCATGTGCATTTTGTTTCCATTGATGATGGATGCAAGAGAGAGAAATAATGTGTCCCAAATGAAACCCTATTCCCTATATAGGACATTATACAGTATAGGGAATATGGTGCCATTTGAGACGCACCCAAAGACAACTAACTTCTTCCACACACTGTTGTGTTCCCAGAATTAATAGAGAGAAAGACTACTAACTTATTCCATACATTGTTGTGTTCCCAGAATTCATAGAGAGAAAGACTACTAACTTCTTCCATACATTGTTGTGTTCCCAGAATTCATAGAGAGAAAGACTACTAACTTCTTCCATTCATTGTTGTGTTCCCAGAATTCATAGAGAGAAAGACTACTAACTTATTCCATACATTGTTGTGTTCCCAGAATTCATAGAGAGAAAGACTACTAACTTCTTCCATACATTGTTGTGTTCCCAGAATTCATAGAGAGAAAGACTACTAACTTCTTCCATTCATTGTTGTGTTCCCAGAATTCATAGAGAGAAAGACTACTAACTTATTCCATACATTGTTGTGTTCCCAGAATTCATAGAGAGAAAGACTACTAACTTCTTCCATTCATTGCTGTGTTCCCAGAATTCATAGAGAGAAAGACTACTAACTTCTTCCATACATTGTTGTGTTCCCAGAATTCATAGAGAGAAAGACTACTAACTTCTTCCATACGCTGTTGTGTTCCCAGAATTCATAGAGAGAAAGACTACTAACTTCTTCCATACATTGTTGTGTTCCCAGAATTCTTAGAGAGAAAGACTACTAACTTCTTCCATACGCTGTTGTGTTCCCAGAATTCATAGCGAGAAAGACTACTAACATCTTCCATACATTGTTGTGTTCCCAGAATTCATAGAGAGAAAGACTACTAACTTCTTCTATACACTGTTGTGTTCCCAGAATTCGTACCGGATGAAGCGGGACTCATTAGCCAGTCGCTGAACTGTCACAGCAAGACGGGAGAAAATAAAACAGAAGCTTGCATTTTTTACTTCTGCTTGAATTGGTTGTTTGATTCCAAGTAAATACCCAGCCAACATTCCAGAACATTCGTTAGGTCGCGGCAAATGATCTCATAACACAAAAAATGTCCAGTCGTGGTGATGATTACAGAATGTATGTATAAAACATTTGCCTGATGTTGCAAGAACGTTCCTAGAACACATTTAATCTGTTCTTTAAAAGGTTCCCACAACTTAATGAAACATTCTGGGAATCTTTAAAGAACAGACAAAATGTGTTCTACTTCTTCCCAGAGGAACGCATCAGGATTTAGTCAAACTACTAATTGAAACATTGGCAGGATTCTCTTGTTGTCTTGAGAATCGTTAATGACAAGACTTACTTAACGTCATTCCATCCTATAGACTACTCTCTTTCTCAATTCAATTCAAATTGCTTTATTGGCATGACGTAACAATGTACATATTGCCAAAGCGTACTTTGGTGATTAAGTGATTCATTTACACTATTAACATAATTAAAATAATAATAATCAATATTGTCAACGGGACAACAGTAACAACAGTAACCAAGGGTCAAAATAACCATTGAACAATAACAATATAGAGGACATGTGCAGGTTGGTTGGTCTGTCAGAAACTGTCCCTCATCTTATGGCAGGCAGCAATGTAGTGCTCTGCCAACCCACAGCTCTCTGCGTCCTCCCCCAACAGGACGGGTAGCCTATTCTCATCAGAGAGGTCTTTGAAACCTTGAAAAACGGTTTCAAATTTGTGTAAACTGCACTCTCTAAATGCAGCTCTGTCTCGGGTCCTGCTGTGGTGCAGTGGTTGCACAGCCTTTCCTCTACAGGGAGCCAGGTTTTCCTGTGTCTACCCTTCTCAATGGCAAGGCTGGGCTCACTGAGCCTGTACTTTGTAAAATCAGATTTAAAAAACAGATAAAACAACACTTTATGGAACAGCGAAGAGACACACACACACACACACAGACACACACACAGACACACACACAGCATTCACAAACACATGCTAACACACGCACTCTACACACACACATTTTAATATTGTTATTTTGCTGTATTATTGATTTTGTATTGTAAATATGTTATGGTAGAGTAGGGTGTTGTGTTATGTATTGTTTTATTGGATGTAAATTGTGGTTGGACCCCAGGAAGAATAGCTGCTGCCTTGGCAGCCGCTAATCGGGATCTGTAATAAATACAAATACAAATACTTTGTCAAGGTTTTTCTAAGGTTTGATCAGTAACCATGGTCAAATAGATTGCCATGGTGTACGGTCGATTTAGGGCCAGATAGCCTTTGTGCTTGTGCTTGTGTTTCCCAATAAGCAATGTAGTTTCGTTTTGACTGTGTTGTAATTTGGTTTATTCTGACTGATTGGATGTTCTGGTCCTGAGGCTTCAGTGTGTTAGTAGAACAGGTTTGTGAACTCAGCCCCAGGACCAGCTGGATGAGGGGACTCTTTTCTTTGCTCAGCTCTTGGCATTGCAGGGCTTGGTAATGATATTAGAGGGGGTCACTGTATTTTAGATGTTTTCCAAAACTTAACTGCTCTTTATTAAGTTTTTATTATTAGTGGATATTGGCCTAATTCTACCTTGCATGCATTGTTTGTAGTTTTCCTCTGGACATGAAGGAAAATCTTACAGATCTCTGCATGCTGGGTTTCAATTGGGTGTTTGTCCCATTGGGTGAAATCTTGTTTTGACACATTCAATTAGTTTTAGCCAAATTGTAATAGGTATTTCAATGCGTTTTTTTTCATTTCTTTAATGCCTCATGTAGGTGTCCAGTTGAGCTTCTTTTAAACATTTACATTTTAGTCATTTAGCAGATGCTCTTATCCAGAGTGACTTACAGTTCATGAGTGCATACATAATTTTTTTATTTTTCATA